GCCCTGCGGGCAGGTAACGGGCCGGGCCAGTCCCGCCGCGGGGCGACCGCGCCCGCTCCCCGGGTCCCGAGGCTGGGGTCTCCCACAGACCCCGGAGATCCATCCTTCCCCACGGCGTTCACTTTAATCCCGAGAAAAGGCGAGCGTGGAGAGTTGGCACTAATTGTATCTAGCTCTTCACACGAAGTAATAATTAACACGCAAACTCAACTCCAAACAAAGTATCACCGCTCTTTTTGTGGGAACACCACCTTATTTATTCAGAGTGTAACACTGTCTACTTCCTTTGAAAAAAGTATATAGATAGGATAAACGTACAGTTAATACCAAAGTTGGGTCAAACGTAAAGGCAGACTTTCCCTCTTAACCCTTAAACACGTGTTAAAAAAAAGTGCCCAAATCTATGTGTGGCATAAATTCAAAAGGAAACTTTTAGGACATCCAGCTCGCACAAACGATGGTTCGGCTTAAAGTGAGACGTTTCTGGTTTTCCTCTGGATTCAGCCGGATCGTTAACTTGCCCCAAGTTACAACTGAGTTGCTCTTTCCAGGCTTTTCGAAGCATCTTTAAGTTTTCCCACCAAGTCCTAAAAGACGTATATAATGCCTCGGGTTTTTTTAGAGTAAAACACTAAGGAATTACCTAAATTCGAGAAAGCTGCAAAAGTCGGGAGACACTTTGGACAACTTCAAAATTCTCTTAAGACTTTGAATCTTTGACAAACCTTTTGAACCTTAGACAAACCACTGTCAAAAGCGTTTCTCCTAAAATAGCTCACCTTCAAGTCGGCTCTTGGCCCTCAGGTTGAAACATGATTTCTAACCAAATCCTCCTCTAACAGGCAAGGTATATTTGCCTAGGTTAAAAATTTCAAGTTATCTAAGAACAGTTATGCTGCATAAAAATTTTCTGAAAGTTTGAAGTCTGACTAATAAGCACATTAAAAGGACTCTGCAGAAGATGCCTTTGAATAATTCAATTTCATCTAAATTTCTAGTAATGATCTTCATTTTTTTAAGTAGTAGAAAATAAATTCGTTGTCCTATCTACTAATGTAGTTTTGAATTTTCCCAGTTTTTCATTGGCAATATAAAGAGTTACAGAATTTATGTATACGTACCCCATCATCAAGTCATTCTAAACCACAGTTTAAAAACCCAATTTTGAAAGCTTAATTCAATTTCTGAAAACAAAGACATGTTCAAAGACATACTCTTAATTTTGCTTTATCTCAATGGATCAAACTCATCACAAGCACAAAGAATTTACACTAACCACTACACTTCAGCTTATTTTAATCAGAGGGAACAGCAAATATAGACTAACTCCCTATTAATAACTATTCAAAAGTGAAGCCTATGCTAAAATATTGCCTTTGAAGCCCTCTTTCCCATTAAATCCTAACCCAACCTTCATGATCGGTTGATAGATGGTTAGATTATTCTTTTGAACCTTCTATAAGCATAATTATCAACTAAACATCTCTAAGAAGAGGTACATTCACAGAACCTAATACTGTACCTGTAATTGTTCCATGTTGCAACTAAAACTAATCTCAGGATAGGATTGGGAATCAGTGTTCTAGAGAGGAAAAAAAATGCTGCTTATTTAAATTAAAGAAATTTTAAATTTCATTACATTTCATTTTTAGACAGGGCTTATTTATAAGTACCTCTACATTTAAGGTCACCAAATATGCAGGTCTGTACAGCTTATGAAGTTGATTGGTCTAAAACAACACAACACACAGAAATCAGCCTTTCATTCTGACTTTTTAAAAAAAGCCTACAAATCCTCCTAGACAAAAGTGTTCAACTTTACCTTTATCTGATATTCCAAGCGCCAAGAAACATCAGTTATATGAGGGAGAGATCTGCCTATACTAAAAGATACAATGATAATTTTGCACATGATAGTTACAGAAAAACATGACAGTATTTACCTTTACTAAGAATAGTTATCCATCTTTCATATCCTCCTCATCTTAATAATGACATTCTAAATTTAAAACATTGTTAAACTTTGTCAAGTTCTGAACAGTAAAAGAGCATTTAAAAATTGTCTCCAAAAACTACCTTTAAAAACATTAGCTTAACTTCAATTGTTTCAGGTGCCCTTTGGTCCCCTTTGGATCAAAATCCCTGGTTTTTCTGGCCCTGTTTTGTTTTACACCAGCTCTCCCCATTCATACCTGCAAGTGAAAAGTGCCTCAGCTTGACACCTTATATAGTACCTACCTTCCCAGTAGGATTTCTAGGGAATGCTTATTACTCTGGGGAGGAAAAGAAAGAAAGAAAACACATCTTTGCAAACAGAGTTGATAAAAAATAGTAATTGTTCATTTAAAATTTTAAAGTAAGTAACCTGATATTCCGTCCAAAACAGTTCTATTCGCTCTCTGTCAAATTTACAGTCTTCTAGATAAGTGCTAGAGGAGAGAAACAAAGGCCAAAGTTTAGTCTCCATTTTTAAAACAAACTGGAATCATAAGGTACTACTTGAAAATAAATGGGTATTTCAATAAATCTTATACCTTAGCGTTGATTTGTCAGCTCGGTGCTTTCCTGCCTCCAGTATGTAAGTTGCAGCTGCTGCATGGCAATGTTTTAAAACCACTGGGTCGATATGTTTTAAGTCTGGGTGATCTAAAATAAATTAATTACCGGTGATGCCTGTTATAATACATTCCTTATAGTCATGTTCCTACAAAGGATATTTAAATTTGGATGAAAACCCCTTTTAATAAGATAAAAGAATTCAGCTAAGAGGACTGTCAATTATAAGTAAATGAGGTGAGCAACAAGGTCAACTGCAAAACAATAAAGAGAACAAGTCAATAATTCTGCTGTTATCTGCCTTAAATTCTCTTTTATTTGCCTTAACTTTTCACTGTTTTTAGAAAATATTGCAGTTCCAAAGGGGGAGGGGGGCAATACAGCGGTCATTCTACCACTGAATGAAAAAGCAGGAAGATACCTATTTTAAATGGTGTACATTTTAGAATCAGTGAACTTTCACTCTAAAAATCATTAATTTTAGGGTAACTGGATCCGTGGACATGAATACATCAAGAGAGTAGACAGGACAGCACGAGTTCAGAATATAAAATACAAATTTCAAAATCATGTCAGTATTTTCAGGTTCTGACAGCCATCCTTTTTGATTATTTTGCTTTTAACCCAGGTGATAGTTACTATGAATATTTTCGTTGGAAGACTTCCCCTTTCATACTTTGTGTATAAGTGTTTGAGTTCATGAAACTACAGGAACAAAAACCAAAATGTGAATTGTTGGGATATTTATATTTAAGACCATTATCTAAAAGGCAACCTGTCCTAAAATTCGCCTTCAGTGCAGTAGTGGCATTGCACTCCGCAATCACTGATCGGATCGCTTGAAAGAGACTCGCCTCCTATTACCGACGCGGAACAAAGCAGTATGCACCATATTTTCAAGTTCTAGGCGTGGAACCTGTGTGAAACATATGGAACTGGAGTGTTGGGATGATCACAGGAACTTGAGGTTTTCTTTACGTTGGAAAATGTCAGCCCTGTTTGACCTAGTAATTACTTCGGAAACAGACCCTTTTAAACCTCTGCCAGCCTAGCCCTGGAAGTCTGAATTGCAGGGAGCTTCTCTGATGAAGTCCAAGTGTCAAAACAGCCGCTGCCTCCGACCAGGCTGAAAACCGTAAGTGTTTAGGCCATAAACAAGACTTGAACATAGGCTTTACAAAGGAACAAAGAAACTGGGAGGGAAAGCAGGCCAGGAACGTGTCGCCGGCTCTGTGCAGGTGCCAAGTGGGGACAGAACAATGCCCAGGGTCCGCTCTGGGCTGTGGCAGAGCCACGTCCCCCACACTCCGTCCGGAGCGAAGGGCAAAGCCCGGAGACTTCCTCTTCCCGGGGCTTTCCCCTTCTCGCTCGGTCGCGCTCCTCTTCTCTGCGCGCCCCTCCACCCCGGCCGATCCAGCTCACCGCCGAGCGGCTTACCTAACACGGCCTCGTCCGCCTGGGCGTCCAGCAGGCTCTGGAAAGCCGCCCGGAGGACAAGCGTGAAGGCGTTGGAGTCGAAGGAGCCGGGATCGGCCAGCATCTGGAAGCCTTTCTGCACAGACTCCGAGAGCTCCATTGTGAGCGCGCCGTGACCTTCGACACGTGCACCACGTGACATGCGCCGCGCGCTCAGCTGATGCGGCCGCGCGCGCACGCGGTCC